CCTTCCGACCCTTAATCTATGAATCTATGAATCTATGCTTGTAGCCAAGCATACCTACAGGTATCTGCTCTTAAATGTCTGCCACCAGTCTTGCTAGCAGCATCAGCTGTCCACATGCACAGTCAGACAAGACGCATATCCTTGTGAATAAATTCCAAAGCTTCTGACATGTTTACTGAGGAAAATTAAACAGAACAGAGGGCTGCTAGTCTGCAACAGAGGGCTGCAGCTGTAGACAGGCAAACCCTTCACCCAAATTAATCCCTGTACCTTAGTCTTATGGAACACAGCACCAAAGGTAACTGGTATTTTCTGTGGCCATTTTGGTCTCAATCCCTTTGAAACCAAGTTGTAGAAAGCAGCATCCTCAGGGAATAGACACACTGTCTCAGCCCGACACAGTACCGAAGGGAGTCACTTAGAGTGACACTGTACACTAAACTAATACAGTAAGCTAGGCTAGTCGAAAAGAGGGTACGATGGCTTACTGAAATGGGTTTACTGAGCAACCCCCTCCAGCAATGCCCTGGAAGATACCAGGAGAGGTAAGTAAGCTGTCAGTCTGTAGTTCCTTCTCTTATGAAGAGACAGTTTGCTTGGGAAAATATGAAGATTTCATTTTTTAAAAATTGGCTAAAATGCAATATCTTCCATGTGTCGGGTATCTAGGTTGTAGCTGTATTGGTCTAGAGGAAAAGGCAATCAGGACTCACAGTAGAGATAATATCTTTTATTAGACCAACAAGGTTTTTGCAAAAAATAAAAAATAAAAATCCCAATAATATTCCCAATATTTTCCCAACCAGGAAGCAACTGTGACTACCTGAAACCTGAGATCCTGCTCCTGCCTTTATTTCAAGGTAATTTGCATCGTCACAGATTCTCACAGGAGGTGATAGGCTCCATACCAGCTATGAACTGACTGCCCAGAGGAGTCTTCTATCTACTGACTCCCCTGTGAAATCCTATGAAATATGAACTTTCATTTCTATTCAGGAGAACTTTTACAGTCTTTTCTTCAAAGT